TACCTTTGGTGACTGTGCGGAGTTTGCACATTCTCCCCGTGTCTGTGTGGGTTTCCTCCCACAATCCAACGATGTGCCGGGTAGGTGGATTGGTCATGCTAAATTGCCCGTAATGTTCAGGATTGTGTAGATTAGGGGGATGGGCCTTATTGCGGTGCTTTGAGGGTCGGTGTGTACTTTTTGGGCCGAAGGCCCACACTGTAGGAATTCTGTGAAAAAATATTTTTGAGCGCAGCGGCAACCGAATTGAAAGTGATTTCCATATTTTCTGTTCCTCCGAGCTCTGTATGGTTTGTTATTATGTTCATGGCATTCCCATATGAAGCAATACAATTTACCTTACTGCATTAATTCAAAATTTTAATCCGAATGTTCAAACATATGTAGAGGATAAACAAACAACACGTCACCGATTAAATCAGAATTATTCACGTCACTGAACCTAGCCCACACAAAACTCAACTCATTTACATATCCATAATATTCAACACAGCACTTTACAAAGAAAAGAAATAAAACTTCATATTTGATAGTGGCTCTCCCATAGGATTTAATATTTCAATTAGTTCTCCTCATACAATGTTAATCTATGATAATCTATTTTGCTGGAATAATAGTTGTTGCAGCTCAATATAACGTAAAAGAGGGACGCTACTACTTGGGTGTCAGGGGTTGGAATCTTTTTGCAGTATACTCTGGTTTCTCTTCAGATCGTATAAATCTTTCGCCTTTTACTAAAGATTTCCGTGGAGAGGAACACTCAGAGTTTTCATCAATTTTTTGTGGCCCTGCTTTTGTGGGGCTGTACATTGTACAAAGAAAGATTATGTCAGGGTAAATTAGGAAGTTAGAACCGGCTTTGAACGTTGATGGTCTGGTCGCGTTTAACTACGCGGAAGCTCTGTAAATCGATTGTGAGGTGGGTAACGTAACGGTAGCAATAATGCAAAAGAGATAGTTTAGGAAGTTGTTAACCTTTTCTTAATTAAGTGAGTTGTTGACACTGCAGTTATTCTTTGATTCTATACGGGTCTCAGAGACTGGAGCTATGAAATAAAATTAAAAATAAATTATTGCAGATGCTCAAAACAAAAACAGTTCTGGAAGAAGTCAACAGGTCTGGCAGCATCTGTGGAGCGAGAAACGGCTAACATTTCAAGTCATAGAATCATAGAACTGTTATGATTTCTTCAGAACTAAAAATAAATTTAATGTTGTTCAATTCCTATTTGTGAGACAGCTAACAATGGTAGCTGTTTTCCTGTGCATGTATTGAGTTCTGCATCAAGAAAAATTCAGGGCAGAGATGTGATGCCTATCTTAGATCTCCCCTTGTCTGCCATATTCGAAGGGCAGGTCAAGATTAACAATGGTTGTCCAGGTGCCTTTAATTGTGGCACTTGTGCCACAGATGCCAGATTTTTCTTTTCTTTATTCATTCGTGGGATGAGGGCGTTGCTAGCCAGGCAGCATTTATTGCCCATCCCTAATTACCCAGAGAGCAGTTTAAGTGTCAACCACAATTCTGTTGGTCTGGAGCCACATGTAGGCCAGACCAGGTAAGGATGGCAGTTTCCTTCCCTAAAGGACATTGGTTCTGGGATCTCCAGTGAGTGGTGAGTTGCTGTGGGAATGGTGCATGGAAAGTGGGGTGGAAATGGGTCTGACTATCATCATGAGGGCACACCGAAAGTGACGAGTGTGATATTTGATTTGTTTATTGTCACGTGTACCTAAGTGCTGTGAAAAGCTTTCTTTACGAGCAGTACAGGCAGATCATAGTAAGCAAGGACATACAGATCAAATGTGAAAAAGAAACCAGGACAGAGGCATACAGGTTACACCGCACAGATTGTGCGCTAGGTAAGATCAACATTAGCGAGATCAGCATTATTTGAAGTTAGAGAGTCCTTTCATCAGTCTAATAATAGTAGGGAAGAAGCTGTTCTTGAACCTGCTGGTTGGTGCATGTATTCAAGCTTCTGTATCCTCTGCCTGACAGAAGAGATTGTGGGAGAGCATTACCCAGGTGGGATGGATCTTTGATGATGTTGGCAGCTGTTCTGCGGCAATGAGTCCATGAATGTAAGATAAAAAGAAAACTTGCTCAGCTTTGCGGGGAGAATAACTCCACAAAACCTGATGTGGCTTGCAGTTAACCATAAAATGGTGAGATTCTGGTCTTACTTATCAGGGGAGGGATGTAGTTTCTAGGTATGGAATGGAACTTGCGGCTCAAAAATACCTCACGAAAGGGAATTGAATGTATATTTTAAAAAGAAAAAAATCTCGCAGCGCTTTGGGGAAAGAATGGGAGTGGATATACTTAGGTAGCTCTTTCATAGAGCTAGCAGAGACACGAAGGGCCAAATGACATCTTTTGCCGCTAAATATTTTGTAATTCTACATGCAAATAGCTATAAAACCTAAAACCATGAATATATTATTAATATAAACATCTCCAGTCTACTGCTATGTAAGCAGTATCTATCGATTTTTCAATGTTAAGTGTGTCCATGTTCACTTCTATATTCATAGTTGCCTATAATACCTGAAGATGGGCACTCTACTGAGACTTTACCACTTTAGTGGACTAGGGTATGGTTTAAAGAACAGGATCTGTTGGGAATGTTTAGCTTGACCTGTGTAGCATTTCCAGAATTTTCCACTTGTCTTTCAGTTTGCCAGCATCCATGCTTTGGTATTGAGTATGGTTTTGGTATTCACAAAACCCTATAACATCCACATAGTCAAGAAAATGTTCTTGTGTAGCTGTAGATACTGCAGATTCCTATTTGCCCTTTTTTTATAGTTGCAAAATTTACTCTTTCCCTATATTGGTCAGATATTTATTTCTCAATGCTGTTTCAACCTAACAGGAATACTAGAACTATTTTATAATATGTAATTTTTTTTCACATCTTAGATTTATGACATGTTATGAACTAGATAAGAACAGCGCACTGAATCTCTCTAGTCCCACTACTCCATGGATCACAAGATTGCTTTAATTGGTTTACTCAGTTCCTGATATGGCCTATTATAGGTTTACTCTATATCAGACTTGGAATGAAATAATCAACCAGGTTTCTTTCATAAACAAAAACAATTGTTTTATTATAAAACAAAACTCATTGAATGAAGAAATAAAATTGGTTAACATATACAATTCATGAAATGAAAATGTAAATGTTTGCCCTGCTTAATAATCCAAAATACATAAAAACACTGTAAAGGAATAAAGAACAGATTTCTCTTCACAGATTCACTTTGGAAGCAAAAAAAAAACACTTCTTGCATTTATTGGTAGCTATTAAAGGGAAAAGGATATGGTATTGGACATTCAGACAGATATTAACTTGACATCCTGGCACGCATAGACAGGCCACTGGATCTGTATTGTTGTCTCAGTCGTGTTGGCACATAGTCTTTCAGGAAACACAGTTTTTCAGATGCTCTTCAAAAGGACAGTCAGGGTTTACACTGGACACACAACAAAGGTGTTTCAGAAAGGTAGGAAGATGATTCCAGGAATGAGGAACTTCATTTATGAAGATGGATTGGAGATGTTAGGACTGTTTTCCATGGAGAATAGAATGCTGAGAGGAAATTTGATAGAGGTAATAAAAGTCTTGAGGGGTCTTGACAGCATAAGGATCAAGACTGAGAATACACAAATAGCAAGTCAGCCTGAGATAAAAACTTGTTAGGTTGTTGACTTGCTCGCCAAGTTGGCTTGTTTTCATTCAGATGTTTCGTCACCATGCTAGGTAACATCATCAGTGAGGCCTCCGATAAAGCGATGTTGTTTCACTCCACTTGAAATTTATTCTGTCATATACATTACATTGGACAGACAGGAAAAAAATGAGCCATCAGAATACACGAACGTCAGCTAGCAGCAAAACAACACAACAAACTTTCCTTAATATCAGTACACTCGGACAATGAAGGTCATCAGTTTAACTGGGACAACGTAACCATAGTAGCCCAAGCCAAACATAGACACAGACAGGAATTCCTAGAGGCATGGTTCTCAATCCATAATGCAATCAACAAACATATAGAATTGGACCCCATATACAAACCCATACAGAACAAAACCAGAAGTGACACTACTCACCATAACGGATCAGACAGTACAAATTCCAAGCAGAGTAGAACAACATCACTTCATCGGAAGCCTCACTGATGATGTTACCTAGCATGGTGATGAAACATCTGAACGTAAACAAGCCAGCATGGCGAGCAAGTCAACAACCTCACCCACAACCCGAGCTACAAATCTTTGCTAAAACCTTTAAACACCTACGGGCACAACACGCTAAAAATTGCCTGACAGTGGGAAACCTTCGCCAACCAACTGAGCTCTACCCACGAACAACTTCACTTTCTCAGGAACTGGGTACTGCCCTGCAGCATGAAGTACAAACCTCCACTCAACAACCCAGGCACACAAAATTGCTGAACAGAACAGATGTAGAATGCTACGGGTGATGATTAATAATGCCCATAACTGACTCTACAAGTACGAACAGGAAATTTCGCGCCAAAAATCACAGTGCCTATACATTACGGACCGACAATGGACTACATCCCTAGAACAGGCCATCACCATCTATCAAAACTAAGAAGAGACATAAGCTACAGGAGAAACTTACTAAACTGATTCACTACAAAGACAAAGACAGCAACAAATCAGACACATGGATAAGAAACCTATCCAGGAGACGACTCACAGAAACTTAGAAAGCTGTCCTATTACCCGGCTGAGCTATAACCACAAAGATGCGAACAGAGCGGACTTCATGGCTGCCCTGGAAACTACATTAAAAGACAACAGACTCATGGATGAAACACAACAAGCCATCCAACAAACTATAATCCCCACACAAAACTGAAGGAATGAATGGAACACCCTGAACACACCAGAGAGGAAAGCACTAGAAAAACTCAAGAAAGACAAGAACATTATAATCCTATCAGCGGACAAAGGACACATGACTGTCATTATGAACAAACCGGACTATGTTGAGAAAGCACAGGCACTGCTCGCAGATACAATCACTTACCAACAGGTGGCAATAGACCCAACGCTGCAGCTAGGTAATAGGTTTACCCAGATACTGAAGAGACGAAAGGATGCAGGACAGATAACAAAATAGACTACTAGAATGAAACTAGAAGGCACAAACACCCCCCACATCTATGGATCTCCTGAAGTACACAAACCAGACATCCCCCT